TATCAAGCGTCAGAACTTCATGCCCAGCACTTCAGAGTTGTGTCTTCTCCTGTGCCTTCCTTCCAAGTCTTCTTCAAGGCTGCCCTGTGGGGACACCTCGTGGCTCAAGTGGCACCTTTGTTTTGGGTGCTGGTGGCTGCCTTTGGGGAAACAGTACCCCTTAATCACACCACAATCTGTGCAAAATATATTAACTGCCAGTGTGACAGCTGGGAGGAGAAACACAAAGTCAAATTTGGAGATAGGAGCTGCAGGGGAAAAGTCTAGACCCACTCTTCTAATGATTATTATTTTAGCACTTAGTGAAATTATAAGTGACTGAGTTCAAAACCCCCAGACCTTCAGGTGCCCTTAACCAGCAGTACTTGGCTGCTGTGCATTCCTGCCGGGCAGTGCAGGTGAGTCCCATTATCACCAGTCCAGGCCTGCAGGGGGCAGGGGACGGAGGCGCTGGGGAGATGCTGCCAGGGATCCGGCCATGGGGATTTGGTTTGTGGCAGCTGAGATCAAACAGTTCCTCAGATTTTATTGTTACCAGCCTGGGCATTAACAAGAAACTTAATTTACCCCACGTCCAGTTTCGCAGCAATGCAGCAGCTAGATAGGAGCATAGCATACGTGGAGCCTGTATTAATTATTTCTGTGTTTGTGGAATGTGCAGATGAAACACCTGGCACCTGCCAAGAAAAGCCAATCTCATCTCCTGTGGCTTTGCAGAGAAAAATGGGAACGGCTGTAGTTCTGTCTGGCTCCCACATATTCCAGGTATTTCCATTCAGTGACATCAACAGGCCCTAAACCCACAGGTGGCCTCTGGCTGGTCTCCATGTGGCTTGTCTCTGTCTCTCCTCAGGAAGGCAGAGCTCTGGTGGAGGCTCTCCTGGTTCTCAGGAGAGGTAGATGTTTATCCTGTGCTCTGCTCTGCAGACACCAACACTAGCACTGCCACCAAGCCACACTGAAGAGAAGTTACCAAACACCATTTGTGATAGTATTTTATAATGAGGAACTAGGCTTTATGTTTTTGTCTTAAAAGACCACAGAAGCAGCACAGCCTTCCTCACCTGTATTTAGCTTCTCCAGTTAGGAGAGGAGAAATGAGTGGGTCAGGATTACTTATTTTGTGGTTTGCCTGTCAATGAAGAGGTGGCTGAGCTTTCCTGCTCTGCTTGCCTCTCACGCCAGTGTCCCCTGGTGCATCCTGTCTTCTCCAAAACACTTGCAAGGAAACTCAGACTATGCCCTTTATAGCATCCTCCAGCCAGGGCTTTCAACTCATTTTGCGCTGTTCCTACCTGGGAATGGAAGAGAGGGTCACCAGCAGGGGTGGTGCCAAGCATGTCTGTAGGTTATTCTCCTTGCCGTGGAGAAGGCACCTTTCATGTGGACATCTTCCCTGCTGGATGGAGGCAGGTTGTCCCCACTGCTGGAGATGAGGGTATTTGGCCAACACTTTCCCTCTCCTGTCCAAGAGTTTCCTGGGCCCCCAGCCTTGTAACTGCAGATTTGGAAGATTTGTTTGCTTTCTCTTGAGCAAATATTTAAATTCTCCAGGCTTGCAGGTGGAGGGGAAAAAAAAATCTTCCCAGTGTGACTCCCTCTCTACTAGCTCCATCTGGAGGTTCCTAGAAAACTTGCACTGCAAAATTATTTTTATCTGTATTTATTTATTTAAGTATTTATTTAGGATTTTAGGTGGTCTTGGCATTGATAGCTGTGGTTAGCAGACCTGAAAAAAGAAAGTATCTGCATAATTAGATTTTTAGTAATAAATTATTAAAGATTCTGTAAAACCAAAACAATGGGCTTATTTCTGGCTAAGCTGAAGACTGCATCTCTATCTGTTAATTTTTCTATTTGCCTGCAGTTACAGTATTTTAAGCAGCTGACTGATCAACCTCTGCTTTAATTCAATAGCATTTATCATTTTCCGATTCAAAGCTGCCACTTAAAGAGCTGTTGGAATGTTTTTTTAAAAAAAACCCAACTTTGAACATAAAACATCTTCCCTTTAAGCTGCAAATAATTTTATTTCTGTAAGTTCCTCTTTCATTACACTGAGCTGTAGTTATCCTCTAGGATTTGCTATTTGGAATTCAAAATGTGTCTATAAATGTAAAAAAGTCCCCAAACCACAGGAAACGGGGGGAAAAAAAACAAAGAAAAAAGAAAGTAATTCAAATGAACTCATCCATGACACCTTTCCTCTGTTTTGTAAATCCAGTGCTCTGAAATCTGCATCTCTCTTACCTGACAGAGTTCTCCTGCCTTCCCTCATGCAAAGTGAGATTCAAAACCTATTGATTTGATAAGACACCTTAGAACTATGCCCAGGTAAAAAGTTCTGTGATGAGCATCAGTGTAATGTTGATTTAGATTCATTCCTTGGATCTGGAGTTTTCAAAAAAAAGAGCAGGAATAGCTGTAGTGGGAGAAGAACGATGATGTGACACAAACTTGAAATCAGTTTTTCATTCATTTGGGGAAAAGCTTTACTTCTCCCTCTCAAAAGAATTCTTGCTGGCAATGGAAAGCTGTCGAGAAAGCACAAAGAGATCAGCTTAGCAGCCTGCCTTGTACAGCTTTCACAAGCACGAAGGGAGGATTTATGATCCATGGATTTGGCGCTCCACGACAAGGAATGCCAGTCACGCTGAAGCTTTCAGCCTTCCCTGGGAGCCTTTCTGCTGACACACAGACTCAGCCAGGAGCCCTAATGTTCTCAGCTACTCCATCCAGAAACTTTCCAGGAGTGTATCTGACACTTCAAGTCCTAATTTCCCCCAGGATTTGTTTCTCAAAGAACACTTGTACACACTCACTCAGGAGCTGCTGTTTGAAGTCCTAACTTTTGTTCTCTTGGAGAGATAATCAGCAAGTGAAGAGTGGATGTAAGATCCCTTCCTGCATAGAAAGCCTGTATGTCCTGAAAATACCTCGCTGCTAAGTGAAGAACAACTTTCAACACATGTGCATTTAGAGTTGTTTAAAAGATATAGCTGGTGTGAAGACATTCAGTGGCTTTCAGTCACAGAGTTCAGCAGCTGTTCAGTACAAGTTCCTGCTAAATGCAGGGCTAGGGCCAAGGCTGAAGCTTCCACAACCTCTGTGGTTGTTTCAGTATCTGATTACCCTCAGATTTGATAAAGACTGCACAAAGTAACCCGAGCCACAGTGAGAGATAACTAACCACAGCAGGAGGAAATCTCCCAGAAATAAAAAAACTGGAGAGAGTAGAACAGAGGACAGAGCAGTCCAGAAACATGAATACAAAGAATAGAAAGAATAGCCACCACGTGGTAGCTTGAGAGTTTGTAAGTAGTGGGATAGTAAAGTGCGCGGTCAGTGAGCAGATGAGAGATTTCCTGTTGAATTGCTTCACAGAAATCTGGAGGGAACAGAAATGGTGTGCAAAATTCAGTATGAGTAGTCCAATGTAAATTCAACTGTTAACATGAGGAGTTCGGTATATCATGAGACAGTCTATCAAGTACTGAGGTTAGTTATGCAATTGTTCTGATACCCTATGTGTTATAAGCATTACACAAAGTGAGTTGTCTCCTGCAGAAGGCAGCTTTAAAACAGACATCAAAAACCCTGAAGAGCCAGATCTTCCACATTTTCTTTTTTGAAGCTTCTTCCCTACATTGTGATGCTTCTGTAGGTATGGCACAAAGCACACTGCAAGGGATTTAGCATCCCTTAATTTTGTTTATCAGGCACAGATGTGCACTCTTCCCTTTCCTTCGTCTTTTCACACCAAGTAACAGTGTGCACTGGAGCTATCTCCTGTAACATTCACTGTAAAACACATTATTTTAAAATAAGCTGTAGCATGGTAATTACTGTAATGAATTCCTTTGGTCGCTGGGCTCATGTTGAAATGAGATTTCACTGACTGCATGGAACACCACAAGACAGTCATCACATTGGCAGCTTTCCTTCCCTCCCTAATTCCTGCAGAAGTGCCCAAACTGTTGTGAAAAGACAGATGTATGAAATTTTCTTCTGATAACTTCTCCATGGCTAAACTCTAGGGGGCTTAGACGAATAACAGTGAAAAAATACAATTGTGTGTATTTCTTGTCTATTCCTAAGACTGCAATAATGCATAAATTCTTGCAACAGCTGCTTCATAAACATTCATGGCATTCACTGACTGTGTCCTGTCCCAGTTGCCCTGTGCTGCAGCACATTCCCATTATCTGAAATGCTTGTTTTCCCTTTCAACTCTATGTATATTCTTTGCTGCATCACTGTCACTATACTCAATAGGTACTGTAACGTTCTGAAAGAAGACTTATTTTTATAGATAAGCTTATTGATGATGGCTGATGTATTCTATATTCTTGTTGCTAAATCCTCAAAGAAACCATTCAATTTGCTTATAATTCAGTTTAACCTTTGCTTTTTTGGTCAGAAAAGTTCTATTTTTTGTATCCTTATTTAATGACAACAAACTGAAAAAGAAAAATGAGATGACACCAGATAAGACAGACCAAGATTTACTTTAGTACAAGGCGAAAAATTCTATTGGAACAGGACAGTCAGCAACTTGGACAAAGGGTGGTGCTAGTCATCAATAAAGCTTCTTAGAACTCATTTCCCTCAGTTTCTTAAAATAGGCTTTCAGGGTTTTTTTTATCTTCTACTAACAAACTCTGTTAGTTACATAACTAAAACATGCAAATAAAGTGCAACAGACTACTGTGATTAAGCAACTTTTAATATTTCTATTGACAAACATTGTAAGCATAACCCGAGTGAACTGTGTATATTTGAAGACTGTCCAGTGACAGACTCACTGAACTACTGGTTCAAGGGCAATTACATTCTAAGTTCATTTTCAGTTGAGCCATAGGATGCTGAAGTGATCATGGACTAGGACGTGTTCCAATAGTGCCAAATTCTAACCGGATTGTGCGTTAGTAGCCAAGGCCGAGGCAAACAATTATCCTGTACCACACACAGAAAGCAACTAGTATTGAAAAGACAAAAAGTTTGGTCAACAAACTAGTTTTACTTCTTTAATAACATTTTTGCTAATAACTCCAGAGGCACAACAGTACCAGTAAGCTTATGAACTTTAAAATGCACAATGGCCACAGACAGTTGACTTGGATACAGTAATAGTGTTTGGTAGCAGACCTAAAGACGACTCTTAGATTCTTCCACTCTTAAATGATTTTGTATTTCCTCATGACCTAGTCATGCACTGGAGAGGAATTCCACAGCAGTCTCCTTCTCTTCAGCTAACTCCTTAGCAGTAAGATCCATCTTCTCACGAGAAAAATCATTAATAGGAAGACCTTCAACAAACTTCCAGGCCTTGTCCTGATTGAAAACAAAAAAATAAAAAGCCCCCACCACGTAAGAACAAGCTTTCAATTCAGTCTGCATGAAGGACACTTTGCAGCATAAGAACCAAAGTTTACAGCCCTAAAAAACACATCAGGCAGCAATTAGTTTTGTTTCAGATAAAGAATGCAACCAGCATCAGCTAGTCATGTCAGATTCTACTCATCAATCAGCACTTAGTTGGCAACCAAGTTAAATTACTTGGCTAAGAACAGTCCTCTCTGTGAAAGACTAAAACCCCCACATCCCAGTAACTGCAGTCCCACACAAAAATCACTGCTATTAACAAGCTCACATGACAGTTTTTACGTCTTGCAGAAGATACATGGATTTCAATACAGTCTAGTTACCTTGATCACAACAGGGAATGAATATAGCAAGTCTTCAGGAACACCGTAAGAATTGCCATCAGAAATGACTCCCATCGAAACAAATTCCCCCTGAAACCAGAAAAGTAAGAGATGAATGCATTTTTCACTGCTAGAAGAAAGCAAAATTTTGATTTTTCAACATCCTGTATTCTCCTACGAGACCCTTTACTCCAGAAGAAGATGGATTCTTTCCTCTGAACACACATACGCAACGGAGGTCAATGATGCTGGCATGTAATCAAAGCAAATTAGGCAAACATGCACTTACTCAAAAGCAACATCTTACCGCTGGAGTACCAAACCAGATGTCCCTCACGTGATCACAGATAGCTTTGGCAGCTGACATGGCACTGGACAGCTTCCTGGCCTTAATAACTGCTGCTCCACGTTGCTGAACAGTCTGCAGTTAAGAAAAAAAACCCCAAACCCTAAATCGCAAAGCAGCAAAATCATGGCTTCGTCCAAATGGTGTCAGTAAATGCCATGAAGAAAGATCGTTGTACGTAATTATTTCATTTCATCAGTCAAGATACAGTTCTATCATTAAACATGGCATACATGGCATACAATCCAGAAGAGTGTTGTCAAGACAAGAACATAATGGAACATTTCAGAGGCTGGCTCAATCTTTAGTACCTGCTTTATAGCTTCTCACATAACAACCAGACGTCTCAAGCTTTTCCCACCAAGAGACTTTGTGCATGTCAACAGTAACAGATGTCTAGAGCAACACTGTCAATTAAGGTTTTTTGCTGAATACCAATGTGAACTATTTGCTGGTCTCAATCCTACAATATTTACTGCACAAAATTCATGTAATTCCTGAAGAGAGTTGAACAGACCTCCCTTTATTTAGAAATTTTGTGTTTGTGAATTAGAGTTCTCAGAATAGGCTTCACTATAGTTTTGGTACAGCTTTATGCCAACCACACCCCAGTCCAGAAAGCAAGAATTATGAAATCTTACCTTATCTCAGGTAAAGCATTCTAATACAGTCCAGCATTACAATGCACCTAGAAGGTCAAATCTGTTTTGGCCATGTAAGATATAGCTGGATCAAGGACAAGGACAGCTTTCTGCTTACACTCTGGCTCATGAACTTTGGTTGCCAATCATTTATTCCACAGCAACAAGCATGAACTGAAATATTACATCCAAAACAGGACAGAGCACTGCCATATGACAAAAAACATTCTCTGTCCTAAACTAAAGCTTCCTTGGCTAAGGTGTAGTACCTGGCTGTTCGGATGCCAGTAACATTGCAACACCAAGCAGAGCACAGCTATTCAGAATCACAGGCACCTGGGGCTTTCGTAAACCTGTCTGACTTCATAGATAGCCTGTGCTCTCAATCAATTAATGCCATTATTACAAAACTGCCCCCAAAAGTCACCGCAGTGAAATGGCAAAGGTGCTTCTTGTGTCAGACAAGTTTCACCTGAGTTATGATCAAAACTCTTTTTGCTGAATCATTTCAGCACTCCAAGTGGATTTTTCTAGCAGGGTTTACATAGGCCTTCGTGCCTTAAATTTTTCAAGGGCAAACAACTGACAGCAACAAGCTATGTGAGGGTGGCTTATACTAGTGAGATAGAACAGCTGCTTCACCAAGTCACTCAGGTACATAGATCACAATTTCAGATAAGGTTAGGACCGTTAAAAAAAAAACCAAACACCAAAAAAACCACCTGTCTTACCAGGATAAAGTCTCCCTTCAGCCAGCTGTCATCTTTTATAGCTTCATAAACTCCAACTTCCTTTCCTTTCACGTTAACCTTCGCATGGTTGACATCTGGATATTGAGTGGAGGAGTGGTTGCCCCAGATGATGACATTCTTCACATCATTAGCAGTCACACCAAGTTTCAGAGCAATCTAATGGGAAATTAAAGATTTCCAATGCATTGACTTCAGTTTCTCAATTCACAGGCTCCTTTGAAAGCACTGTTCTGTTTGTGTTTAGCAGAGATAACAGAATAGGCTCTTTTTACCTGAGATTTGGCTCTGTTGTGATCCAAACGAGTTAAGCAGCTGAAGTTTTCCTTTGGTATAGATGGAGCTGACTTTGATGCAATCAGGCAGTTAGTATTTGCTGGATTCCCAACTACCACAACCTGAAAATGAAAAATGGGAAGATGAAGTCGGTATTTCTGCAAAACAACTCCCTCCAGTGAAATACTCTGCTTTGCCTTCAAAGAAGCTATCGAAGAAGTGAAGTTTTCTAAATCTCTTGGTTGTCTTCAATGTGATTGTTTTCTAAGTGTGTGGTTCATAGTCACCCAGTCTTCTACAACTGTACAGAAAGATATTTTCTAGGTAGGTATTTTCTTTATAACTTGAGATTCAAATGTGAAAGAGAACAAGATTTCCAGGGAGATCTATATACTGATCCACAACCTGGCTTCAAATCTCATGGTACCAGACACAGGAAAAGCAAGGTACATGCACACTAGTCAGTCCACAGTGACTTCACCAACGCCTTTTAAATACTCTTTAGTTGGGCTGCCACTGCTTTATATAATTGCTTTATAATTAAGAAAGCCAGAACAGTTACTAATCTCAATGTTCATAAGCAGTTAGAAGTAAAATACTGCCTCAACTTAGATCCATTTATAGCCATGGAAAACTGATTTTTATTCATCCTTCATTTGTGCCTCAAATGACTAATGACTCCATATACCCTCAATCACACAATCTGATCTGCAAACCTCCCTTTGTATCTCGCCTTTTGAAAGTGAGTTCAGTAAATTTTCCACTACTCCATAATAGTTATATTGATAGTTTTTATTCCAACTGGATAAAGAAGCAAACAAGTCTTTAGAAGCAGTAGGAAGTTCATCAGCAGAGGAAGCAGACATTAAAAAGTCAGTTACAAAGCACAGTTGGAGTCTGGGTTTGAGATTAAGAGCAGTGGGAGAGCAGCCCCATGATCCCATTAACTGTGCTGAAGGAATCTGAGAGAGAACAATTAAAATCTTCCAGTGCTCCAAAGAACAAGACACAAACAACCCAAATAAAGCCGATTTTTTGTGCAACTGTAATTCCATATTGATACTGAAGTTAAGGGCCATTCTGTTAAAGCCACAGATGGATATGAAGTAGGCAGCTGCATGTAGAAGATTTAGTTCTCCCAGAGGAGAGAGATAACGAGCAAAAGACTGTTCATTTTTTTTAATATGGTTTTGTGGGGTTGGTTTTGACTGTGGTATATTTTCCAGGGCTTAAGGAAAGGAATGCCTGCACTGAACAGGCTCCTTCTTGCGCAATATCATTCTACAATATATTTAGATCTCTACATAACCGTGTTAATGTTTTAAATTCAGTTTCTATATTCACCTTGACAGACTTTTTGGCATACTTGTCCAAGGCTGCACCCTGAGACTTGAAAATTTTCACATTTGCTTTGAGTAAATCCTTCCTTTCCATGCCCTCTCTCCTTGGCATGGAGCCAACCAGAATCGCTATGTCAAGGTCTTTGAATGCAACTTCCTCCTTGTCTGTTGGAATGACCTCTAAAAAAAGGAAAGAGGGGAAAAAAATCAGTAAGATAAATACTCATGGCACAGTGTTAACAGAATATTCTTTTGTTCATAAAGAGTATATAATCTAATCTGACAATATCACCACCTTCCCCTTCCAAAAACACAAGTATAGTCATTTGGCCCTAACTCCACAGATTAAGTACTTGCCAGTAAATGATTTATATGTACAAATTTTTATCTAAAGTGGAAAACATGGGAGAAATCTATGTAAAAATATAAGTTTCGTGTGTCTCTATTTAAATATATATATATTAGTACATATGCTATTCTTTACTTTTACAAAAAAGTTTCAATGGCAAATATCAACACAAGTGAAATTTTCCTTCCTCTTTAACAATCCCAAACAAAGATTCTGAATTGGGTTAGGTTACAATTCAAACTGAAGGTCTGAATTATACAAGAGCTGGTAGCTACATGGGGTTTTTTCAAGTATTCTAATACTGTAACACCTACTCACTCCCTTTCTTCTGCTTGTTTAAAGTACCAGAACTTGTTTACATGACTTAATGGGTCATTTTTTATTTCATGTCCTTATACAGAAGATATTTCTGAAGTCTAAAATTATGGTGTAGTTTTCTTATTTAGCAAAGAAATATCTAAAGATTGTTATTTCACCACTGGGCTAGAACACAATGCACATATGCACAAGTATCTGACAATTTGCTGTCCAGGCTGAAACCCCAGGATTTGCTGATATAAACCAAAACCCACATATCTGTGTTGTCAGTTCTTTTCACAAAACTCATTTGATGTCATTCTTGCTAGCTTACAGCCTAAGTTAATTTATCTTCCAAAAAATATAAAACCAAGGATCATAAAATATTTTCTTCTGTTTAACGTCCTGCCAGCTACAGGAACTCATAAATGCAGCAGCTCTTTAACAGCCTATTGTAGGTATAAGAAAAAATTCTTTTGGACACCTCTGAGCAGTGGCAGAGCACAGTCCTGCAGCTCCATCACCACACCTTCCAGTACAGTCATCATAGGAGTGATGTCCAGCAGCACAAGAATAAGAGGCTGTAAAGAAAGAAAAAGTTTAGTGCAAGTTGGGCATAATGAATTTTGTCTTGTACTCTGCCAGAAACTGCTATCTCCTGCAAGATTTAAAACCCATTTAGAGAAAACAAACAACTTCAGCACAACCAACAACTGAAAGCTTGTGTAACAGAGCAGACACCAGTTTTCCTCACTTAAAGAAGAAATTACTTGCACATTGGTAAATCAGTGAGTGTCTACAAGAAAACCAGTCCCAGGGACTGCAGTTGTGACAATTCAGTGTGAGAGTTACCTGGTCTTTGCCGAAGACATCTCCCTTGGCAATGCTGTAGAGCAGGGAGTAAGCAATCTGCCCAGCAGCTCCAGTCACCAGGACTCTGACAGGTTCACCCTGTAAGAAAATTAGAGTCTTTATCCACTGCTACACAGTGCAGGTCACACCACCTGAGTGTTAAAAATTAACAGTTACCACAGCAATATCATGGATTATTTAACCTAGATGCTAATGTGTGCCTAAATGCAGATCAGCCCCAACTCCTTGGATCATACTTCTGTTCTACCAGAACCACCAGCAATTTCTCTACTTGCTTTTACAGAAACAGACCACACTGGCAAAAGCATCCTGAAGAATCACTCCTGGAATAACTTCCAAAATGCCAGGAATAACAATGTATTTGAAAAACTCTGTATTCCCCTTAACAACATTGTCTTTTCAACATAGGACAATACAACAAACACCCACTCATTAGATTAGCCATTCATACTTGAAATTTCCTACAGTTTCACAAGCTGTGACACTTCACTGGTTTTCACATTCTTCTCCATTTTGAGGGCTGTTTCCATTAAGCATTTTGAATGTTTATTTGCAATCAAAGACTTACTGAATGCCAGAGACCAAAGAATCTAGTGGACTTAAAACTAGTGCCCCACTAAACTGTTTGGCAGTAATTTAAGAAATCTACCAGACAAAAGGTACATTATGGACAAATCCAGACACTATAATCCATAATACAACTGTTTATTGTCAAACTGACCCTAAACTCCACAAGACTGGGAGAAGACTGCCAACATGTTGCTATATTGCAAATAAAGGGGAAAAAAATGCATGCTTTATAGTAAACATCCCATTTTGTTAAGCAGAACTAAGATCTGGGGAAATCCAGAGGTTTTTCAATATTGAAAACTGAAGGCTGAGAGAGTTTGGGTTGTTCATCCTGGAGAAGATAAGGTTCCAGGAAGGCCTTGTTGTAGCTTCTCAATACTGAAAGGGGACCTTAAGAAAGACTACAACAAACTTTTTAGTAGGGCCTGTTATGAAGTGACAAGGAACAACAGTTTTAAATTAAAAGAGGGTAGATTTAGATAAGAAAATTTATTTTCCAATAGGGCTGGGGAAATGCTGGCACAGATTACTCAGAGAGGTTGTAAGATGCCCCATCACTGGAAACAGTCAAGGTCAAATTGGAGCTTTGAGCAACCTGGTCTAGTTGAAGATGTTGCTGCTCATTGTAAGGGGGGGATGGACCAGATGACCTTTAGAAGTCCCTTCAAATGCAACATTCTATGATCCTCTGAAAATGGAACACATGCTAAAGGACCTTCATAACATTCCCTGTTTCTCTAGAGGCAATAGGGCTGGGACAGATTGTGCCCGGACAGGAACAAGCAGACTCTGACCGGGCTGCTGGAGTGTCAAACCCACTTTGTCAAATAATTAAAAGGTGATCATTTGAGATACAGACAAAACACCAGGCACAACTGAACGTGAAAGAAGTGATTTAATTGCATCCTGGGCTACATTACGAGAAGCGCAGCTTGCAGACAAAGACATTCCACTCAGTGCTGGTGATATTGCAGCTGGAATACTGAGTCCAGTCTTGGCACCCTGAGTTCATGTCCTGTAAAGTGAGGCTGAGCATGCTGGACATAGCCTGGAAAGGCAGAGGATGGGGGGTGATGTAACAGCAGCCTACCACACCTTCACAGAGTGTTACAAAAATAACGCTTCCCAACACCTCTCCTAGTGGCAGATGGCAGAACAGGGTGCACTGGCTACAAAAGGGTACCCAGAGAGTCTGTGCAATCTTCTCCCTTGGTGGTTTTCAAGACTCAGATCAAAACACACATATGATATGATTTATCAGTGACAACAGCCTTGCTGTCAGGCTGGACTGGACAACCTCCAGACTTGGAGTGAAAGAGGGAGGACCGTGTGACCTCTAGAGATCCTTCCCAACCAATGTTCCTGTCATTGATATTTATAGGAAAACCATTTTGGGCTTTGAGTGTATCCTCTCTGCAGAAGTGACCAGCCAAGCACAGTTGCATCAAGCTATCCTTAAATTATTACAAAAATGAGGCCACCTACCCCATCTTCCCACATACCAGATAAAATGAGAGTGTAAGTGATGACGTTAAACTCCTGAACTTGCAGAATTAGACCTGGCCTGATTCTACCTTCATTATGGGAACGATTCTTTAAATATCTGGTTACATGATTAGCAGCTACACAGCATTGAACTGCACTGTTTTCTTTTGAATCTGTCCTATTATGAGCCTCATCCCTCATGGAAACTCCACAAAGAGGGGGAAGGAGGGCAGACAAACAATTCTTGCTGGTTTAAATCTCAAAACTAGTTTTGGTATTGTATTGCTGAGTAAGGAAATGTACCATAACATCTGAATGATGATGGACAGCATGGATTAAGATGTGTATCAAATTTTAAAGCCAAGTTTACAGCATGTTTCTAAGGAGATCCTACATTTTATTTATATTAAGGTGACAGTGAATACTCTTTTATGGCAGCTAACCATACTAGTTAATAAAATGAGAATTTTTTTCCACTATATGCACTTTATATGCTAATTTGATTTAAACATAAAAAATGTCAATCTATCCACTAATATTACGGTGAGTATTTAGCATAACAACAGGAGAAGGAAGGAGTAGAAAATAAAAAAGGTAAGAGATAGAATTATTTATTATACTTTTACTGAGACAAACTTAGCATTTAGCCTTTTTTTGGAAAAAAAAACCCAACAAAACCACTTTGGTCATGACTCAGCTCCACCTTCTCACCATAATTATGTTTGCTTACAACCATCCTTCCTGTTCTCCCCCCCAATGTGAGGCTGGAGACAGAAGAAACACAAGCTAAAATAAAGTGAAGAGTGCTGCCTACTTGCTTTTTCTCTCCCAGCCTTCAGTCCACTGGATTCAATCCATTCCCCAGGCTCCTTTACTCCTGCACTAATTGTGAGCAATTAGTATCAAAGAAACTTCCATGCTGTCTCAAATCCAGAAGCTAGATTAACAAGCCAAAAATGCTGTGTTTCTTACAAAATGTGGATAACTCTCACCAAAGAAAGAAAAAACTTACATCACATATCAAAATTGGTCTTATTGAGCATCAGAGGCTACTTTTGGAGGTTGGATATTTAGAGAAATGAGTAGCTCCCCAGTGGAAGTTGTAGGTTCCAAACATTCATGTCCAGGCCCTTCAACTCGTGACTTGGCTCCTGCAAGACTACTTTCATGTGGTAGCTACAGGGGTGACCTTTACTCACCCTCAGGTATAGAACTAGAGGACAAATTAAGCAACAACTAACTGAACTATTTTGTTTCAAAGCCTTCCCCACTCCGCATTCAGCCGATGTACAGTTAAATAGCTTTAGGAAACTAAAAGAGTAGCACCGGTAGTGATAAAAAGGATGAGGAAAAAAACCCCCAACAACTGAACATTGTTGGGTACCCTTCTTTGTCTAGTTCAGCAACCATGTAGGATTTCTCCCCTTCCTCAACTATGACAGATGAAAGTGAAGCTTCCAATACCAAATGAGGCAGTTGTGGGCTTATTGCCCTCCCCACAACACTTTGGCTGAAGAACTCAGTGCCTCAGTTATGTCTGTGATTTACAGGTGACAACAGCAGACCTAAAATATTAGTGCTATACAGGCAAATAGCACTACACCGCAAAACTGATTCAGGAGGTTACAAAGGTGAGTTAAAGATAACTCACAACCTATCAAATGCTGTGGCAAGAACACCCTGTCTACTTTGCATTGCAAATTACAAATGAAAGACCTCCATACACATTACTGCCGATAAACTTATCATCAACTTGACTTTTTTCCTGAATAGTAAAGCCAACTAAGCTATCCCACCTTGCTTCACAAAGGTGATTTAAGCACCAAGATAAACTTTATCTCCTCAAGAGTCTAGAGTCTGCCTAAGAAACTTTCCCTTTGCTCTCCCTTCTTTAAAGCAGAGATACGGTGACAAGAAACATGTTTGGAAACAGAGTAGAAAGTGTCAGCTCTGCACTCCAGGAGAGCCACCAGCAGAGTCGTTCAGAGACCGAATTCCAAAGGCGTTCTTTCCTTAAGAAGTGACCTTGACACAGGTGCCCTGAAAGACTTTTTTTCACTTCATTTATCTAACGGTGGTTGCATCAATAGACAGATAATTTTATTTCTGGAGTTTAAAGCCTCTGCCCACCACCACATGCACAACTAGAACAGCAAAGGCAAGATAAAAACAGTGACATTCTGAAAAGTCTGGACACCAAAGTAAATTACAACCAGCAGTTCTCTGTGAGATTGGTACATTCATGTCAGGCAATGATCTGAAAGCTCAGGTACAAACTAAAACCTGTTATCTTGTGTCACTCCTCTGAATCCACATTTTAAACAGAAAGAGCAGAGAAGTTTACAGACTTTGGTATTTTTTAGGGTATAGCTGAAATAAGCCACGTCCCAGAGCATGCAAGCATCCTTTCTACAGCAAAACATTAAAAGTACAGGTTTGAATAACAGGGTATAGAGTCTAGAAAAACCTGGAGACGTTTTCAGGGTAACAAAGGAAAGGAAGGTCTCTGTGCAGGTTTGTGTGTGCATACATGTAAGTATATATGCTGCAGAAAAGCAAAGCGCTGCAGTACACTGTAATAACCTCAGGGCAGAACTATTGACAATCTGCACAAACAGCAGGATTTCTGACAGCACGCAGAGATTAAACAATAAAGACATTTCACAAGCGCTTCCCCTTGAGCTAACACAGAACCGCTCCAAACCCGTTAAGCTCTCGCGGACTAAGGCGAAGGGTTTCCGGACCTCTCGGAGACAACGTCGCCACCCGCGGGGCCAAACGGTGCCATCCCCCGTCGGGAGGCACCACCGAGGGCGGGGGGGGGTTCGCTCCGCTCCCACATCCCGCCCTCCCCCTCACGCCGCGCTGGCACAGACGCCGCCAGGCCGGCACCGACCCCACGTCTCCCGCTGGAAGGTCACCCCTGCGCGGCCTCCGCGGGGGTTGCGGTGAGCTCTGGGGCCGCCGCCAGGCCCGGCTCCTCCGGGTGCCGCCACCACCAGCCACCTCCAGGTCACCCCTATCCCCCACACCCGCGAAGCAGCGCGACGCCATTTCGCGGCCACCTCCGCCCGCCGGATCCCCCCGATCCGCCCCGGAGGGACGCGGAGGGCGCGGTGCGGGCGCCGGCGCAGCGGGCCCGGTGCGCGGTACCGACCATGTTGGCGGGAGCGACGGGAGCGGCTGAAACGGCTGCTCGGGGTCACCTCTGCGACACGACTGCGGGCGCGGCGGCGCTGCGCCCAGGAGCCGCGGAGGGGAGGGGCGCGCCGCCCGCGCGCGGCCGCCTGGGGGCTGTAGTCGAGGCTACCGCCGACATGCACTGCTTCGCTCTCTGAAGGAACTACAACTCCCGGCGTGCCCGGGGGCCAGGGCGCGCGCCCCCGCGCTCCATTGGCGGTTGCCGCCCCCTCGCGTCACCCCATTCATTTGAAGGGCAGAGCGGCGCGTGAGAAGCGAGGGGCGGGGGTTGCGGCAGCGCGGGCGCCCCGGGCTACGCATGCGCGCTACATGCGAAAGAGCTGCGGCGCATGCGCAGGGCGCGGCGTGCGCTGTTGCTGGTGGGAAACAGGCGGAGAGGCGGGACGGGGAACCGGGACAGGCTCCGGCACTGGCGGGCCGCTCCCGCCGCGCCCCCCGCGCCCCGGCCCGGCGTCTCGGAGGCGCTCGCGTGGGTGCGAGTGCGCGGCCTGACCCTGCCCTTTCCCGGGGGGGAGGGCGTCCCCGGGAGCCCCGGTGAGAGCGGGCGGAGCGGTCCCCTCACGGTCCCCTCGCGTTGCCCGCGCCGCTCTCTCCTGCCCGGCCTGCTCTGGGGAGTTGCCAGCGCGTCCCTGCAGCTGCAGCCCTTTGTCCTGTGACTCCGGGTGTCTTCCCTCGCCTCCTCCCTCACATTCCCTTCGGCCCTGCGGGAGATGGTGCAGAGCTGCGTTTCACACTTCACGAAACCCCCTCGGCTTGCGTTTAACCCTTTATTATTTTTAGGGAAAGCTGAGAGCTTACCTGTGCTATCCCGCTGCTAGAACTAGGGACCTCTTGTACAAAAATAAAGTTTGTCGTCTGCTTGTGTTTTGAACTATTGGGTGAAGTCAATTCCTTTTGGTCTGGTTTAAAAGTGAGGCTGATACTGGTGTAAATACATCAGGAAAATACAGCTTCATAAACTCTGCTGGTTATGCTATAAAAGAGGGTCTTGGGTGACACAGTTGATTTTTCTTTTCCCTCGGATCTTGACAGGATTCCTTATTGCAAAAAGTCTGTAATTCAGTGAAATCTTTAGTGAAGTCTCACTTGTGCCAATATATTTCTGCAGGATTAGTTTTAAATCTCTCTCTAATCCTTAGAGTAGATAGTATTATTTTTTTAAAACAGTCTAAACAGCCTATACGCTTATGCAATTTCTTCTTCGGTCTGTGACAGAAATAAGAAGTCACTCCTTTAGGGCAGTGGGTGTAAAACCTAAATATTTATGCTTGTCGTGCAAAATGTTCTCCTCTTAGTGAGTTGTGCTCGTGCCTCAATTCAGAACGTCCTGTGTCTTGAACAAGTCTTTAGCTGAACCCCTGACAGCTCCTGCAGTACAGAAAACTGTGCAGTCAGAGTGGGAAAGGTACAGTCATGCTTAGTTTATTTTAAATGTCAACCTGTACTGATTTATGTCAGTTAATAACTGTACATTTTTAATATGAATGAAGATTGTACCCAAGTTCCCTTCTGGGGATGAATTTAAAAGCCAAATAGCTGCAAGCAAAGCTGAAGTCTGGCTTGCTGTGAAGTGTAGAGAAGCTTGGTAAGTAGGAGGGAGCTTGTTTTACAGTCAGAGTTTTCCAGAGTGTCCTGAGGTGCTTTACCCTGGTGACTGTAAGCTCTTCTGCACCAGGACATTGTATGGACTTAATTAACACTATTTAAGATTTAAATGTACACAAAGCCTGACGTGGGCCCACATAAGGTAATTTCCACCAAACATAATTAGTTCAGTTTGAATTGATTCCTTATCAATTTTCAGGTAAATCACTGTTAGCATGCTGTAAACTGATTTGTCTGTGTCAGCATAGCAGATTGTATTGATTTAGTGGATTTCAGATAAGAGCTTAACTTGAAACTTTCAAACTTTCTGTAGGTAAGACTTCCTTTTCATTCTTGGTCCTTTTTTTGCCTAAGCTTGTGCTCCTGGAACTATTTGCTGCTGGAGATGACAACAAATCTTGTTGTTATGTTTTGTTGAAAGTGATTTGTTATGAATGTGATAGAAAGCCATTTGTAAATGCTTTTGTTTGTCACTTTATTTTCAATCTGTTTCCAGTATAATTAGTCCAAGAGACGCTGAATTGTCATCTATGCTGATTTAACTAAAGATATTGTAAAATTTAGTGTTTTGCGAATGTGGTGTATTTTTTAAACTCAGCAAAACTTAATAATTCTAGCATTTCCTTCTTAAATGGCTTACGTTTTGTTTCTACTTGTTAAACTCTAATGTTTTCCAAGCAAAATTTAAGTGTAATTTTTTAAATATTCTTTAATTCTTCCCCATGTTTTATTAGTATGAGTCTCTTGTGTAGCACTTTAATCCAAAAAAGCTGCATAAATGAAAACATTACGTGCAAGTGAAATAATGGAAATTTAGTATACATGTGAATTGGGCTCTTGGCTGATTCTTCAAATACATTTTAAAATTTTTGCAGTCAAAAGATATTGAAATACGTGGAAATCAGTAATTAATTAACACACTGAAGTATTAAGATGTTTTAATCTCAGTTTTCTGGGGATCTAGTATTATTTTTCAAGGCAACTAGTGGTTTTGAAGGGTAGTTACCAGAATTATCTCTTAATTTTTTTATATATATATTAAAATTAATTATTCTCTGTTAACAGCTGGCTGGGTTCTTTAGCTGTATTTTGGATGGGATTTTCTTTTACTTCACTGCCATCTATAGAAACTGATGAATATTTTAGGTAAGTTTTTATGCTTAATTTTCAGTAATTTTTGAAGTTTTCTTTTTATCCTCTCTATGTATGACACAGTTTTTCTTTTATCTTATGCATTTACTTGCAATTGTTATTACCAAATCATGTCTCCTGTAGCTAAGTCTGTGTGATATGATTAACATTCAGAATGTTTAAGACTCTGTAAGAAAAATTAACTATATAATGGCTGGGTTCAATCCTAGAAATACTAGAATAGAAACAGTTTTGGAAGCCTATTCTGGATTATTGTCCAAGGAAATAATAATAAGAGATTTTTCGGAAATAAAAGCATTGCAAAAAAATACTGAAATAGAATTAAGAGGATCAAAAGCTGTTTTGTAAATCTAGCATGGAGTTTATAAAAGATAAAGATGTAGATATAAGCAAGAAGAATTAAAATTGTAGTTTAGAAAACCATCACAGGATTTATTTTATTTTTTATTCCTGGTGCTAATGTTCAAAATGTTATTTTTCACTGTTTGTTTCTGAACTTCAGTCACATGATACTGCATGGACATTTAATGTTATGAGGAAACTGATGTATCTATAAATTCTGCTTATAATCCTGATTTTATTCTCGCTGTGGTTCAGAAAACTTTCTAAAGGATAAATTTTGCCTTCTATGGATCTGATTTGATTTTATCCTATGGCTTATTTTTTACGTGTTAACAGTTTAATTGGTTTTTTAATCAAAGGTGAGTAATTAATCATTAATTGATTTGTACAACCTTTAGTGTGTTTTTGAGAGGTGGATAGGATGCAATAACACATTCTGTACTCATGTGCCTATAAAGAGACACAAATGATGTATAGCTTGCTTGTAATATGGTCCCTTCCAACTCACATAATCTGCGATTCTGTGAACATGTATTGGTAATCTTTATGAACTATTCATGAGTCAAATCTTAATAAAAATTGTCAACAGAAGGTGCTTTTTTATTTCTTTTTTTTTTTTCTAAGTAGTACAAACAGCCATTTGTAGGTTTGACAGGGCACATTGTAACAATCCAGGCCTCCTTTGCCGTCTGTGCCTCCTCAGATCTGAGGTGGGTGGTCTGTGGTTCCTGGAGTGCAGCTCAGGTGTTCAGGGCTCCATCACTGACCAGAGGTTTGGTAGTGGCACCCCCGTTGTGCACCCCCAAAGCTGAGAGACCCTGGAAGCTCTGTCGTCATCCACCACCTGTGCACCATTTCTGGAAGATTTTCTTCTCTCTCTTTTGGTTGTTACAAGGGCCAGGGTATAGAGAGTCCCTGTTTAAGAAACAAAACCAAACAAAACCAACCCACAAAACAAACAGCCAAAATGCTCACACACACATGGCACAAAGACTTTGGTGTATTGGCTGTAAATTCAGCACAGTTGATCTCTGAATTGTTACAAAGAGAATAGAAGAGTTGTGTTCCTGGTGCCTGAGAAGTAGCCTTACTGGATTCTTTTACCTTAACACAAGTCTGTCTTTATCTTGGTTGAACAGAGACTTTGTGACAGCCATGTGTGGATTTTCTACTCACTAATGTCAATGTGTGGAGGAGAAGAGGCAGGTTGGTTATCTAAACAAGAAATGACCTGTGTAACAGTTCAAGTTCTACCAAATCAAACCTTGTACTCTTAATTAATTGCAACAATTTAGAAAAAAACCCAACAAAACAAACACTACTACCTCTTTCTCCCACTAAATTAAGCTGATGTCCTTCTGAGTTTTTTAAATGAGGTAAGCATTCAGTCAAGTGGAAAAACAGCTTCTGTTAAGAATGTATGTTTGCTTTTTCTTTTATATGATTTCCTCTTACACTTGTTTGTTATAACCTGATAATCAAGTAATAAATTTGATACAAGAGGTTAGCAGCCATCGTGATGACTTTCCATTTTCTAGACTCAGTGCAGGGGGGTGAATCCATCTGCTTCCTTTATCCATCCTTTCCATGTCAGAATGACTGATGAATGTTGTTCCATGCCAAATCTCTTGCATAATGACAAGAGTTTTTCTCATTAGGTTTATTTCTTTGAATTATGGTCACGTAGTTTGATTAAAATATTTCAGGTTGTTTTACAACATCTGTTTGAATTTGTTTCTGCATTTTCACTGAGC